GTATCATACTAAGAAAGATTTCACGGTGTAGGACTAAAGAAAAGCACGTAATCGCGGACTTATATGTGGGAGAAACTTTATTTTTAATCTGTTTTTATGTTAGTTTTTAGTCATGGCATGGGAAATTTTTTGGGTAGTCTGTGGTTACGACGATAAACGTTGTAAAGAGGCTAAGCAGTTTTATTAAAGATTTTGTGTTTAATTCGACCATTCTTTTCTTCGACGATCCCACAACTATTTTGGGAGCTCGTTCGGGATCCAGAGAAGTATCAGTGTGGAATAATTAAAAACATTTACGAAGAAATCATCAGCAAAATACCGGCGAGTTATTGTGAGAAGTGAAACTGTTTTACCGACACGAACCAAGATGGCGCGCGGGAAGTTTTGAATACGAGTTGCATCGAATGCTTCGGGACGTTGCTACCATCGCACTGCATTACCACAGCGGTGACACTCCCTGTACGTGAGAGCTTAAGCGCCGCGCCGGTGACCTTGAGTCGAAGCGTGTAACGCTAGGGTTGATATCGAACCGAAATGGAATATTATAGACTTGTACCAAAGAAGATACATAGTAGGTATATGTTATATATTATGTAAACTTATGTATTTGGGTAGTGAAAAATACGTTCAATTTTAAATCAACTTTTATTAAATAAGGAATATTAAAACTTCCGACAAAACCAAATATGCACGACAGTTATTGGTAATTTAAAAATTAAAAATTAAAAATTAAGTAATTAACCAACACTTAGTATTTCAGTACGCAATAATCAGTATTACCTACTATCCTTTAAAAATAATTTACTCTTATATATTTTTGAATTTTTCGATTAATTTTTTAATTTTCATTATTATTTCTAACAATTGCAAAAATTCGTAGCATGTATATTTTTTTTAGAAAATCCAAAGATATGCAGGTTTCCTGGAACATGGTGGCCAACAAATTGTTCCCTATGTGTTGAGGAGATAAGTCATTTTTATTTCTAATGAAATAATCCATAAATACAAGAATGAACAAATACAAAAACTCTTTATAGATATCTAAAATTTATTGACTCTCTAGTGGTATTTTTAATAGTGTATATTTCAGTTAATGTAATATAATAAAATTATTGGCGATATATTAGTTTTACTGTCATGGTATTTCCCCATAATTCTTGTTAATATCATATCGCCTTTCATTAAAATGAGTTCACATATTTTTAGGTATCATAAAACATTATTAAAAATTAAACTAACAAAACAAGGGCCCTTGTTTTGTGCAGTGGAATTTATTTTAATTCTTATCACTTAAAATCACTTTTAGTAATACTTATACGTATACTATATCATTTATTTAATAACAATATTAATATTTATCAAAGCATATAAGCCGGCGATAAAAGCTAATAACGTTACTTGGTAACATAAACTTAATACCTACATGAATAGAATAGTTATATGTACATTAAGATATCAGTAATATTCATATATTAATTGAAATATTATAATATCACTTGACGAATATATTCATATTAACTAATACTGACAAATATCGGTATTACTACTAGCCCTCGGCCAGGGCAGTCGGCGATTGCCCGTTCCACGCCCCGCGCGCCTCTCAAGGCGCACACATCCATACACCCACACATAGCCGCAAGCGATTTTACGTGCACACATGCTTAAGTGTCGTTTCTTTTCGCGTAGTGTATATATTCTTTGGCATTACCGACTACGCGTGAGCGGAATACTGCGGGACGTTGTTCGTGACGTCAATATATTTTTTATTTTTTACGAAATGTAAAGAAGATAAAGATTAGTTTCACGACTGGATTTACGATTTACGAATTTTACGATTGAAGATTATTGTTACAAAAATAATGATTTAAAGAAGAATTTACCATTATTGAAGACTTGTGAAGATTTTTATATTTGAAGAATAACATTTCAAGATGCCGCCAAAAAATATATTAAAGATGGAGAAGAACGAGAATCACGTGACACCACATCCTATATCTCGTTTGCAGATGTGGAGAAGTCGATGACGTCATTTAGTGGTGATGATTCTTACCCGATTTCAACATGGTTTGAAGAATTTGAAGGCACGGCACTGTTGATGGGCTGGACTGAAGTAGAAAAACTGATTTACGCGAAAAGACTCCTAAGTGGAACTGCAAAACTATTTCTACGATCGCTCGGAGGTGTAAGAGATTATAAAAAAATTAAAACAAGAACTCGAAGATGAATTTGGATCTAAATTGAATAGTGCTGCCATACATAAAAAACTAAGTTCAAGAAAAATGAAGAAAGATGAAACTTACCAGCAGTATTTTCTCCATATGGAAGAATGTGCACTACATGGAAACATCGAAGATGCAGCACTTATAGAGTACGTTATTGATGGTATCCAAGAACAGCGAATCTAATAAATCTATTTTGTACGGAGCGTCAAACCTTAAAGAATTTAGAAAGAAATTAGATATTTACAAAAATATTAAAGGAAAGACCCAGACTCGACCCAATGTATCTACTCCATTTACAAAGAATAATAAAATAAAGCGATGTTTCAATTGCGGAGACCTAGATCATCAAGCCCTGACCTGCACGAAGGGTATTAATTGCTTCCGATGCAATGAATTTGGGCATAAGGGAACTCAGTGTAGTAACAAAGGTAAAAAGACTATATATTCAAAAGAGTGAAACAAAAACTAAGACTGATAAAGAAGACAAAGAATTAGAAACTCCATATAAGAAGATAAATGATGTCGAAATTACAGCATTAATTGACACTGGGAGTGACGTGAATTTTATAAAGTTATCTGAAGTTGAAAAAGTTATGACAGAAAAAGTTATCTATGACAAAGAAAAATCAATACACCTAACTGGAATTGCTGGAAAAGATCTAAATATTGAAGGACTTCTGGAAGTTAAGGTTTTGATTGATGATTATTATACTGATTTGAAATTTTACGCAGTACAAGATTATGCTATACTAGTCAGCGTCATACTTGGAAATCCTATCCTCAAAGATTTGAAATCAACTTTACTCGTGATGGTATTTTCCTTGAAGAGATTTCTTACCTTACACTACTAGCAGAAGAGAAGAACACTATTTGTGATGAACATTACCCTGAAAATAAAGAAATTGCAAATAAGATTACAAAACGAATTGAAGAATATAAAACTGATGCTAAAAAGAAGGAAAGTAACATTGAGATGAAAATAATACTTACCGAAGAAGACCCGATCCATCAAAGTCCACGTCGATTGTCACCACTGGAAATGAAAGTTGTTGATGAACAAATAAATGAATGGCTAGACCAAAAGATTATACGACCCAGCAAATCAGATTTTGCAAGCACGGTAGTTCTAGCTAAAAAGAAAGATGGAACATACAGACTTTGTATAGATTATAGAAAGTTGAATAAAATAATAGTGAAAGACCGCTTCCCGTTACCTCTTATAGAAGATCAGATTGACAGATTGAAGGGTGCAAAAGTTTTCACGACCTTAGATTTGAAGAACGGATTTATGCATGTGATTGTGCATGAAGAAAGCAGGAAGTTTATGGCCTTTGTAATTCCGCAAGGGCAGTATGAATTCATGAAAATGCCTTTCGGTCTTTGTACGGCGCCGTCAGTATTCCAAAGATATGTCAGCCATGTCTTTCAAGATCTTATTTCTGACGGTACTGTCCTTGCCTACTTGGATGATTTGATTTTACCCTCGGAGTCAGAAGAGGAAGGATCGGAGAAGCTGGTAAAAGTGTTCCAAAGAGCGGAAGAGTACGGTCTTTTATTTAACTGGAAGAAATGCCACTTCATGAAGAGGGAGATAGAATATTTAGGCTATATAATACGGAATAATGAATTACGCCAGTCAAAAGAATAGATTTCAGCCGTATCAAGATTTAAAACCCGTCATAACATCAAGTCTATACAGTTTTTTTAGGACTGTCTGGTTATTTTAGAAAGTTCATCAAAAATTATTCTATAATTGCAAAACCACTTACCAATTTATTGAAGAAAGACGTTGAATTCAATTTTCGTGAAGAGTGCAAAATGGCTTTTAATGAATTGAAAAGAATATTGTGTAGTTCACCTGTGTTACGGATTTACGATCCAGAGCTAGCAACAGAACTACACACAGATACTAGCGCAGAAGGCTATGGCGCCGTTCTGTTACAGAAAACTCCTACAGATAATCAAATGCATCCAGTCTACTACACGAACAAAAAAATGACACCCGCTGAAAGAAAGTATCACAGCTATTACTTGGAAATAGCGGTTGTTGAAGCTGTTAAGAAATTCCGTACCCTATCATGACTATATTATGGAAAGAGGAATATTATGCAAAGAGAAAGACGGTACGAGACTTATTGTAGTTCCAAAGAAAATGCAGAACAAAATAATAAGGAAAAAGCATGATTTGAAGATGACATTTTGGAGTTAGAAAAACAGAAGAGCTTCTGAGTCGAGAGTATTATATTGAGAATCTGAAGGAGAAGATTAGAAAAGTTATAGATAATTGTGTAGAATGTATTCTGATTGAACAGAAAAAAGGAAAGAAAGAAGGATTCTTACATCCATTAGACAAAGGTGATGTCCCGTTGTCATCATATTGATCATCTTGGTCCATTGACGTCTACTAATAAAAACTATAAGTACATTTTTACGGTAGTTGATGGCTTTACCAAATTTACTTGGATCTATCCTAAGAAATCTTTGTCTACAGATGAAACGTTAGACAAACTGAGAGTGCAACAACAAATCTTTGGTTCCCCTCAAAGGATTATTTCCGATCGTAACGACGCATTTACTTCAAAAGACTTTCAAGACTATTGTGAACAAGAAGGCATAACTCATTATACAATTACTACAGGACAACCCCGCAGAAACGGGCAAGTAGAAAGAATCCCATCAAGTGTTTTATTGCGTTATAATTTCCTGCAACGCTGTCTGAATAGTACATGGCAAAGAAGTATTGCAATGACTCCATTCGAGTTACTTTTTGGAACCAAAATGAAAGATGAGAATGAAGATATTATGAAATTAATAGAAGAAGAAAAAGTTAAGAACTATGATGAGCAAAGGAATGAACTAAGATTAGAGGCAAAAGAGTTAATACAAAAGATCCAGGAAGAGAACGTTAAAAATTATAATATAAAAAGAAAAAAGGCTACCGAATACAAAGTTGGCGACTACGTTGCTATTAAACGAACACAATTTACTCAAGAAAGTAAATTGTATCCTAAGTATCTAGGACCTTTCGCAGTGACAGCCAAAAAGCATCATGAAAGGTACGCTGTAAGAAAAGTTGGTGAATGCGGAGGGCCCATCAACACAACAACCTCGGCTGATCTCATGAAGCCATGGGTCGATGAAGAAGTTGATGAATATTCATCTGATTTAGATGAATGATCAGGACGGCCGTGTGGGAGAAAGTTTATTTTTAATCTGTTTTTATGTTAGTTTTTAGACATGGCATGGGAACATTTTTGGGTAGTCTGTGGTTACGACGATAAACATTGTAAAGAGGTTAAGCAGTTTTATTAAAGATTTTGTGTTTAAATTTGACCATTCTTTTCTTCGACGATCCCACATATATTTATGTAAGAGTTTTTTTTTAGAATACGGTATTAATGTTTTGATTTTATAAACAAAATAAAGTTGATATACTTTGTTTTATTTTTTATTGTAAAAATAAATTAGTTATTCTAGCATATACAAAAAGAATTAAATGTATTATTTTTTTAGTTCTTTTTATATAAAACTTACAAAAATGCCGTAAATGGTCGGCGTACAGGGGAATGCGCGTTACAAAATTCTTGGCTGTCAAAGTGTTAAAATGATTATGAATTCGTATTAGTTTCGGCTATTTAACAACTAGATGGCGCTTTTTGTCGTTCACAGAGATATCACAGATACTAAAAGAGTTTAATCGTGCTGCGACCATCAAAATGGCGCCTCGACCCCGCTCGAGGCTTACCCTCTGCTCTGATTGGTCGTAACATTTATGAAGTACAATACAGTAACTTGAATGAGATTAAATAAGATTCTACACAATAACAATCAATACATACATATATATATATATATATATATATATATATATATATATATATATATATATATATATATATATATATATATTGTTTTGTCCATCTTCATCTTAAAACCCATCCGTTGGAAGACACCATTGAGATCATTGAGCATAGTGCTAAGGTCCTCCAGCGATTCGTACTCGCCATTGATGTTAATATCGTATCATTTCCAGTCCAGTAGCTTGAAAACATCTTCCAACGCAGCAGTGAAGAGTTTCGGGGATATAACGTCACCCTCTCTTACACCTCTCTGCAGTTGGATAGGTTTCAAACTCTGGTTCTGTACTCGGGTAGCCATCGTAGCCCTACTGTACAAACACTTCAGCACTTCGATATACCGACAGTCAACTTGGCGCCGCTGAAGGGACTGTAGCACCGCCCAAATTTCGACGGAATCAAAGGCTTTCTCATAGTCCACATACGCCAGGCAAAGTGGCAGATTGTACTCTTCTGTCTTCTTACAATCTGCCGCAGGGTATGTATGTGGTCTATGGTACTGTAGCCTTTTCGGAAACCGGCTTGTTCGGGAGGCTGAAAGTCATCGAGACTGCGTGAGAGACGATTCGTAATGATTCTCGAAAACAGCACGAAGACGCGGCTCAGAAGGGAAATCGGTCTGTAATTCTTCAAGAGCGCGTTGTCGCCTTTCTTAAAGAACAAGACCACCGCGTTTCTGCTCCACGCCTCCGGAGTAGTGCCACCATGGAGGACGGAATTGAAGAGCTTCTGAAGGACTTCAAGTACCGGTGTTCCAGCCAATTTCAGAAGCTCCGCTGTAATTCTATCCTCACCTGGGGCCCCGCCGTTTTTAAGGTGCTGGAGATCCATTCATCATCATAATATATATAAATCAGATATCATCGGAATAGTGTCGGATAAGACTTGCTCTTGGATCGTTACTCACAATTGCGTGTGGCTCCAACGATGATGTGTACAGCTGCCCATAGAACCTCTCAATCTCACTCAAAATCTCAGGTGTCCCGGAAACGATGCTGCCACATTCAGTTTTCAGCTTTGACAGTTGGCTCTTTCTGGCAGACAGATCTCTGGCAAAGACTTTGGAGCCCTGGTTCCGCTCGATCGCTTCTTTTTTTCTTTGCTTCTTTACGAGCATTAGTAAGGTTGCGTAAGTCTCGCCGCATGCATTTGGTGGTCTGTCTGTTCAGTTGCCTGTATGCTGTCAAATCTGTTGACGATTGCAGCCTCATCTCCTGTCTAACAGCCATAAGATTAAGAGTGTGATCGGAGAGTTTTTATGTTCTTCTGATGCGGGTCTTGCAGAACTTAGATCCGACCGCATGGACAGTTTCCACGAGCTTGTTATTCATATCGTCAACTGCATTACAATCTTCTAGGCACTGAAAGCGGTTACGTAACTCAAGCTGAAAGGTTTGAGTATTGTGGATTAGAGCACGAGGGGGGACGGAGCGTCGACTTCATTGGACGAGACCTCCTCCAACTTAACGTTTAGGTTCGGTGTGCCTCTAACCATTCGGTGATCGCTGCCAGTTTTCACACTTACGATTACTGAAACATTACTGAACAGTTGGCGTCTGGTCGTCATAATGAAGTCAATCTCATTTAATGATTTCTTATATTTACGCGAACACTACACATTGAAATAATACTAATTTTTACGGAATTTATCGCGTATATTTAACTTTTTAAATACCCGACGTCAAATATACGCGATAAATTCCGTAAAAACTAGTATTATTTCAATGTGTAGTGTTCGCGTAAATATTCAAAATCATTATGTAAACCAGTACGGACTGGTAGTTGCAAATAAAATACGCCGATTAGAAGATCTAAAGACCAAGCGCGCAAGATATCTTACAGCCTTAAATTTCTTGAAGAGATGCCGAGACCATAATCTCATTCCTACGTGTGTCAAAATATCAACCATAAAGGACATTCGAGGAAGCGCTATGATCTTAAATCAGGCGAGTAAAAAGTTGTTACGGACGGTAATCCAACAAAAACGCTCCGATCTATATGACATAAATAAATCCATAGACACATCATCCAGTAAATTAAAGAAAGTTTTAACGACTTTTGACTATAATTTTTGCATGGAAACATTAAATAAACGCGAAATTAGTAAATATAATGAATGCAAAAACAAACATATAGTAAAATATCAAAAATTAACGAACAAGTCAAATGTCAAACATCTGAATCAATGCCAGAACGAAAAGCAACCATTGACAAACACAGATCATAGATTAATCGCGCTCTATAATCTGTCAAAACAAACACTGGATGATGCAACAATTAGGGTTTTATCCAAAGGTCTCAACTTTGATATTACACCCCGTAAATTACCGCAGAATAATTTACGAAGAAATTATCTGTAGAGACGAGGACTGTTTATTGAAAAACAATATGCGGAAAGAAGATTTGGAGGCGATAAGTCAAGACATTTCGTCTATGTTACGTCGATGGTCAGTGCCTAAACCGAATCTTCCCAAAGACGAATTTATAGCGTTAAAGAAACTACGCAATAAACCAGAACCATATGGATACGTCAGATTAAAATTCAAAAATACAAGAACTTTTGTCGGATGTAAGTACTTACAAAAAAGGTTAAAAATGACCTAACAAATAGCACACTAAAAACAACTAGTGACCTCATAAAGAAACACTCCGAAAAATTAAATCTGGACGTAAAATGGATAATACCTACGTGCGCCAAATCACCAAAATTGTATGGGTTACCAAAAATACACAAGCCCAATGCTCCATTACGTCCCATAGTGAGCCAAATCGATTCACCAACTTACAGGTTGGCTCAACACTTAGCGAAAATACTCTCACCGCTCAGGGGACATACAAGAGCACACATAAAGGATTCCTACCATTTTGTCAGCGAGATTAAAGACCTACATCTGGCAGACAATGAAACTATGGTCAGTTTTGATGTGCAGTCATTGTTTACATGCTTACCTGTTGTAGACTGCATCTCAATAGTAACTAGAAGGCTGGAAGAAAACGACATGCCCGTAGAGTATGCAGTATTACTCAGACACTGTGCTACATCTGGCTACCTATTGTGGATGGAGGAGTTCTACAAGCAAGTAGATGGTGTGGCGATGGGCTCACCTGTATCTCCCATTGTCGCCGACATATTCATGGAAGACTTTGAGGAGAAAGCCCTGCTTAGTTCCCCCATAAATCCAAAAGTCTACAAGCAGTACTTAGTCGACACTTTCACAATTCTACCTTTAGATAATGTAACTGCATTTTTAGACCATCTTAACTCTATAAATTCTAAAATTCAGTTCACAATGGAGTTAGAGGCAAACAATTCCTTAGCTCTTCTAGATGTGTTAGTAATTCGGAATCCTGATAACACCTTGAGCCATACTGTGTATGGAAAAAAGACCCATACAGATAGTTTAAACGGTTATTCTCACCACCATCCTTCACAGTTAGCTACCGTGGGTAAATCTTTGTTTCAGAGAGCACGAGGGATCTGTGACAGTAAACACCTGTCTGCTGAGCTCCACCATGTCAAGCAAGTTTTGCATGACAACAAGCTTCGAGTCCCGCGCCTACGTCACAGTGAACGAGTGAAGCCGGCCACAATCGAGCGTGTACCTGCTGTACTGCCATATGTTAGAGGAGTCACTGACAAGATTGGCTACATCTTGAAGCGCGCTTCCATCAAAACATACTTCAAGCCGCTGAAGAAGATTGGTCAGTTTTACCATCAGTCATGTGTAATGTCCCTCCGCAAGATGCAGGAGTGTACAAGCTAGATTGTGAATGTGGTCTCTCCTACATAGGACAAACTAAAAGATCAATAAAAACCCGCGTTAAAGAACATATTGCTGATGTGAAGAATCTACGCTCCGGGAAGTCTGCAGTCTTGATAGACCACAAATCCTCGCTAAAGAACACCGATTCCTTCCAAGGATGATTCGCGAGGCTATTGAAATCAAAAAACATCCTAATTTCAATAGAGACGACTAAGTGCTACCATCTGCTTGGGATCCGATAATAAATTAAATTAAATCCCAACCCAAGCATACAACTGCAAGACTTCAAGATATCATAAGTTCATACTTTATAGATCGGAACAAAAGTTAAATTTTAATCTATGGTAACCGCGGTTAACTATGACATATGGACGTTGAACATCTCAGTCCCGCCCGTGACCATGAGTGCTGTAAAGCGTTCGAAACGTCGGGTATTTAAAAAGTTAAATATATGCGATAAATTCCGTAAAAACTAGTATTATTTCAATCTCATTTTTTGTCGAACCGTCGGGTCTCGACCAGGTCCACTTCCTGTGTGGCCGCTTCTGGAAGAAAAACTTCATCATAAAGAGTCCCTCTTCTCCATAATGTTGGCCAGCTGCTGGCCCCTTCGGTTCCGTTGCCCTACTCCAAATTTCCCTAACTTCAGCTCACCGTTTTCTCTTGTGCCTAGTTTTGCGTTGAAGTCTCCCTTCAACACCGTGTAGTGGGTTTTTGAGGAATGCGTGGCTCTGGAAATATCCTCATACATTTCCTCCACCTCCTCATCGGGATGTGCTGAGGTTGGTGCGTAAACCTGTATGACCTTCAGCGAATACCGTTTGGTGATTCTGAGTATCAAGTACGCGACCCTCGTCTACATCATCTTTACAACGTTATTGAGGAGAGAAGATAAATCCGATACCTCCTTGGGACAGATGGTCGCCCTCCCGGTGATAGAACAAGTTGCCGGACTCGAGGATTACCGTGTACTCCCCCTCTCTTCGGACCACGGATAATCCAATAATATGCCAGCGCAACTTGCCTACCTCTTCTTCCAGCTCCAGTTCCATCTTCTCGTCAGTCCTTAGGATGCG